TTATTTTAACAATAAGTTTAATTATTAAAATGTTTTTATAACTTTGAATTAATACAGTATATTCTTTCTAATTATTATAAAATTAATTTGCAATAATTTCAGATAAAAAATTTCTTGAATAAATTAAGATAATAAATATTTATAAAACTTTCAATTCATTTTCATAAAATATCTTGTAACAATAAGACAAAGTTTCTGTATTATATCGAATAAAATTAAAACCCAATAATTGTATGAAATAATATAACACCAAAACAAAATTATTTTTGAATTTTATTTTTTTATTTTTACATTAATAGATTAAATTAGTTTATTATATTTAAGCTTTTTCCAGTTTTCTCATTCACTTTATCTAAAACATGGCACATTTCTGCTAATAAGTGGAGTAATAAGTTCTGGTGATTGTTTACAATATATTCCCGGTCTATTTTCTGATATTTTAAAATGTAACACCATGAAAGTTCATTTTGGAAGTCGTCAATAAATTGCTGGTCAAGTATTTGGCAACGAGAAACAAAATTCCAGTTTAGATAATCTTTTACCAATCATTCGTATTCATATACACCTCCAATGTCCAATACAGCTAAGTCATCTAGGTTACTTACGTTACTCCTACCCAATTCTCCCTAATCGCTAACTGAATCGCATTTTTCGCACATTATTCTTCGCATTGCAAAATGACATACGCATGCGTCAGGAACTTCTGTTCGAACAAACCTCACCTGCCGTCCTGGTCAGCGATTTTAAAAAGGTGGCAACACTAGCACGGAATTTTTCATTACTTATTCTGTGACGAAACTGAATTTTAGTTTTTTAAATTGAGATCCCTAAATAAGGGGGCAGCGAAATCTTCCTTTGCCCCAGGCGACTGACACCCACGCTACACTACTGAGCGTAGCCAAATATTCGGTATTCGGCAAAATCACTATTCGTGGCATCACTAGCCAATACCTCGTGGTTTAGAATCTCATTTCTGAGTATTTAGTGTATGAAATAACACATAAATGACATAATAATGGAATAATTTTACTACATATAAAACTCACCCCCATTTCAACACAGAATATTCAGGGAAAATAGTACAGTAGCCCGTCGTAATATCGCGGATTCGGATATATCGCTCTTTTTCTTTGTCTCCCGACAAGCGCCATATAACGAGGGGCTAATGTATTTAGTGTTAGTCCGTTTGGGAAAGTTATTAACCTATAAAAACTTCTCATATAAGACGCAGTGCAATTTCTATGCCTTTTCTGGACAAAAGATGCGCCTTATTTGTCATAAAATATTACATTTCTATAAGAATAATTAAGAAATATTCAGTTCCTTCTGCTCGATTTCCTTATATGTATTTTTAACAAATGCATTGTAATATACCTGGTGATTAAGACAAAGGACTACTTAACTTTAATAATAAAAAACATCCAGCAACGAGTTGCTTAACTTTCCCAGCAAGATTTAAAACTGCGTGTTTGGCGCCATCTGTTATGATAATTTATTATTAAAAATTTTTATATTTTTAATTATTATAAAATGGCACAAAGCTTAATTTTGAAGGAAGGGATGAATTTCATAAAAATTGTAAATGCTAGTAAAGAGCGAAATTGTCATTAAATCTATCCCTACTGGAGATACACACGATTTCCTTTATCTCCTCATCCCTCAACCTTTAATCACCAAAACTTAATGCACATAATACACAAACCTCCCTGCAAAATTTCAGAAATTTTCGAAAAATATTACAGGAGTTATTAATCTTCAAACAGGGTGAACAATTTACCGTAAGCGCATTTTTCTTGAACTCATATATGACGAAAATGTTTTTTCTTATGTACAATTTTCGTGTGAGAATTTCTCGTGCCCTTTTTTCTTGTTACCAATCCATAATGAGGAAAACCGGACAGCCGGATGTAAACGTCAACCTACTGCTCTGGGGACTAAGGGATCGAATTTAGGCTGGTAAATCCAGTAATTCTTAGAGATCGTCTATCTCAGATGTGTATGCCATGTCCTTCACCACACAATCCATTGTGGGTCTGGCAGAACCCATGATGAATATGATTTTAGAAAAGTCCTTTTAGTGCCCTTATGCCGGAATTATTCAAAAATAAAAAAGTTCCCATAATTAAAACGTTTGTAAATATTTCAAATCAGATTATCTATTTGTTTTTAATTAAAATATTGAATAAAACGAATTTTTTTCTGCTTTTAATAAAGAATTTCAGAAATTAATTTCTTTCAAAACAACAGACATCTTGGTCGTTTTTTTCTACTGTCCAATTTATTTAAATTAAAAGTTTCGCACGAAATGTTTATAATAAAAATCTTATTTATAAATTTAATAAATTGAAAAATCGAACATAAAGTTAATTAACTTTCATTCAATATTTCCTTTGTTCTATTATTTCTATTATTTAACTATGTAAATCGAAAATTTAAAAAGTAGTTGAATTAAATGTTACAATAACAAATTTTAAGAAATTTTCCATGTAACAGAGATAATAAAAAGAAAAGCAACGCACACATCTTTTGGGAATGAACATAACATGTAATAAAAAGTTGTAATCTTAAAGTCTCGATGATTCCGCAATACAATGATGTTACTTATACAATATGCAGGAAATAGGAAAACACGAATGATGTCATAACTGATTTTAAAAGTTTGGCATTCATACGATTACTAAAAACAGAAAATGTCTTCTTTTCCACTGTGCATTCGATGATTTTCACTTTGAAATCTATAACAATTCAGTTTTCAATTTGACAAAGGAAAGCTCTTTAAAACAGTATTTTTAAGTTATGGGACTTTAAGAAACTACACAAGATTTCAAATTCAAAACACAAGATGTTTTCGAAAAGGTCGACCGCATCGAAAACTAAGTTGATCAAGAAACAAAAATTGTCGACGACAAACTCGTGTAACAGACTCTTAACACTATTAGTACACATTGTACTCTACTGTACTTTATCACTGTAATTGTCATATTTTTTAAGTAATTAACCATATTAAAATTAAACAAAATTCAATTATGTTTAAATGAAAGAAAAACATTTCAATTTAGAAAAATATTGATTAAATCTGCTTTTTATCTTACATTTATAAAAATACAATTTGTAAGTACACAATAGAATGAAAAAACACTTTTTCATACATTATTCAAACGTTCCTACGTGATTGTATTCCGTAAACAGAAAACAATGAACAAACCCTTAGACATCACTATTGTATTTTTTTTTCATTGAAGGTTTTTCTATTAATTTTTACTAAATTAATTTCATTTAGTATCGTTCTATCTTACGGTGAAGAGTGTTCATACCCTTATTGTTAAGATCAAAGAAAATGAATGTCTCCTTCCCTTTAATCACACTCCTAATTATAATTCTAATCCAATATATTGAAGGTGAGTACAGATTTGCTAATTTTATTACTAACATTTTTTTAAATTTGAGTTTTTATTAAAATTTATTAGAAGACACTCCGACAGTTTCCTTGTAAGTGTATTTCAAACACATACTCCGTGATATCTAAAATATTTATAAGTATTAATGCTCTTATTGGAAACACAGTGTTTTAAATTACATATTTTTTCCTATGAAGTCTTAATTAAAATCTTCATTATTCTCATACATAATTGATATACATTTCATTAATTTAGGGACACTTAGAACAGATCTTTATAGAAATTAAGTAAAATATATTGCAGCAGACTAGAGAGCATAGGGAATGCTTTCTATGTGCCAGCTACACGCACGATACAGACTGAGACTATGACTTTAATGGTATACGAAATTGATATTAAAAAATTTGAATGTAATAACGTCACAAATGTAATATTATCCTAAATAATTTATATTACTAATTTTATACAAGAACTTAGAACATGATATTTACAATGTTTCTTGTATATCTTATGTTTCAAAATTATTGATTTCTCTCATAGTTGATAACATAATAATTGCTTAGGCAAGAATAATGCAGATCGTATTAAATACCTCTTTCCTTTTATATCAAAATGTTTGCAACTGTATGACTTTTGTTGAAAGATCATCAAAGAGAAAAATTCATGGAAAAATTATTTTACCTTGATGAAGTGTACTGAAAGAAAATATTGAGGGAAAAAATGGATGCCATATTTTTTGTTACTTAATCAACGATCACTTATTGATGAAGTTTTATTATTGCATGATAGTTTGTAGATTGTGTGAAAAATTCATCAACTACTAATAGAGTTGCCAACTATTCGAAATTCCAGTTAATTTTTAAAAATTGTTCGAAAATATTCTGAAAAGTGGTCGAGTTTTTGCTTTTTCTCTTTTTAATCGTTCCTTTTTCCTCGTAAGATATTGGTGCTATTAATTGTAATCCAATTATGGGACTCCAATTTGAAAAAATTGTAAACCTATAAATGTCTAGTCATCTGTCTAACTGTCCATAATCTCGTGAATGGAGGTAAATAGATGAAAACTGAGATCAGATATGTAAAGATTAAAGGACAGGAGGTCCCGGTTAACTATATAGGAACTTCCGATGCAAACCGGAAGTTACGTTATATCAATTCAAAAATTTCCTCCGTAATGAGTTAGATAGATGACCGGCACGACTCGATTTTCGGCATTGTGTTCGAAATTTGTTAATCTGAAAGTTGGAAATGCTGGAATCAACGATCGAAATTATTGTCTAATGTTATACGACGTCGTTACGTACAGCGCATTGTGTCGCGATGTTTTGTAAACGTTCTTCCGTTACGTAATAAAAGATTGGCGGCGCTATTGACCCCTCGGGGAGCCATTAGAGACGGTGACCTTGTTTTACTCTCCCCTTTTCAGCGCTGACCTTCCGTGAGTCAAGACAGTGTATTTTTTGTTTCTTTGTTATGTAACTAGTTACGCGAGTCTAACTTGTTTTTACTAATCTCTCCGACAAGCAACATCTAGTCTAACAGGAAGCCTTGGCTACTAAGGCCTGAAAGGACTATTATGCGGTGGAACTGAAGTTGGACGATGTGGATCGAACTATCCACTATACCTTTTATCTTAAAATCCAAAGGGGCAGTTACATCTTCAATCGGCTCCAGCAATCTCCAATAACGCAGAAATTCGAGGGAGAAGCCGCTTGATAGCACTCATGTATATATTGTAGAATTTACAATCGTCTGTATTTACGAAATAAAATTCCCACTATTGGAACAACTTCGTTTTATGATTATTATTGGTTCCTTCCGCCTTGAATTTCACTGTTCGAAATAATAGTCTCGTGTAATGTTATGCCTTCTACAATATATTTCTGATACAATGTTTGCATATGTAATTATAATTGTTATATTTCTTTATATAAATACTTGTGTATTTGCAGATATGAAGTTGTGCAGCCAGCGCTGAATTTAGTCAACGAAGACAGTGTAAATGGAACTTATTTAGGGATTATTGGACAGTTATTCAACAAGGTCAAGTATTAGTTAAAATAACTTCTTCATTTCTTTATAAAATATAAAATACTAACATTTTACTATAAATAATTTAAAATCATAATTAAAATCTAATTATTGTTCTTAAGCTTTCTGAATTTATATAATTTCTATATTATAATGCAAATTTTTCGTGTTTCTTTAGACGGCAGACATTTATCCATATCCTGTGGCAGTCAGGCACAGTCGGCACGAGGTTGCGGATTTCTCCTCTATTATTGGAATTTATTCGATAAACTTTATCATTAAGCAAATAGAAAAAACACCAGATTGGCAGGCAATATTCGAGCCTTTCTCGCTACATGTTAGTACTTTTATTATTGTGTCTACTTTGTTACATTGTTGTTATTAGTTTTTGCATTATTTCCGTCTAGAAAACAGTAATACACTCTTATTTAATATTCATTGTGGTTCAGATAAATGAGCAATAAGATATATCCATTTAGAAATGGTAAACTGTTTTTTTTTTACTAAGAAGTTGACCCTACTTAGTATATGTGCAAAAGAAACAAACACAAATTATAATTAAAAACATTTGAATTATAAATATTTTGACTATCTTTAATTATTATATATGTATTACATTTTTTCCTCTCTTTTTGTGAAAGGTTTGGCTGGCAGTAGGAATCACATTTATTTTAGTTGCATTAGTTCTTCCTATAATAATAAATTACGAATTAAATAAAAATGGAAATGAACATCTTTGGACAAAGATGAGAAGCTTTTGGTTTCTATTTTCCTCTTTCACTAATCAAGGTGCAAATTTTTATCAAATTTTTATTTAAACATTAATTTCATCAATAAAATTCTTATCTTTATTTTTCAGGATCTGACATAAGTTACATAAACCGACTCGTTTCCAGAAGTTTTATCGGAATTTGCATAATATCGATTTTAATATTAACATTTGGCTATAGTGGAACTTTGACTTCATACTTGACTGCTCCGGTTCCGGAGCCTGTTCCAAGAACATTCGAAGAATTATCTATTGCTGTAAAAAATGGAAAATGCTCATGTAGTACCCACTTAAATCAAGATGTAACGAAATTAGTAATGGTAACGTTTCTTTCTAATTTATTAAAATTCAATATAATCTTTTGATGGTCTTGTTAAACATATTTCAATACACGGGTAGTCAGGGATTGATTGTAATTATCAATTTAGCTCACTCATCTTAGCAACATGATAATAAACACTTGAAACAGACTACACAATTGTGAATTTCTTAACTTAATATTCTTACAGAACTCTAAAAGCGAATTTATGAAAGACATAAAAACTCATATGATCACCAATAACAATTTTTTTCGAAGTTCCGACATCAAGAAACAGGTGATGAAAGCACGATCCGCATTTATTTCAGTTAAATATCTCTTATCGTGGATGGCTAAATATTACCCAGGACAATGGTATATCTGTGATGACTCGTTGACTATCTTAATTAGTGCACTTCCTATGAGGAAGGGATTTCCATTTAAAAAAGATGTTGATTTTATGTGAGTATGAACTTTTAATTCCTATGTTTATATATTTAAAAATATATAAAAGTATACTCTCTTTTGCTTCAATTCATTTCTCAAGAAATTATCCACATGATTTATATGTCCAATCTCAAGATTTATACAGGGTGCTCCAAAAGTCACTGTGCAGGATGCTCCTAAAGTTACTATCATACCATGTTTTTCAGATATTTCTTCGTGTGTAACTAATTGTCTTTGTTAATATTTTCTACTTTGTACTGTCAAGATTGTCTTCAAGCTAGGTTGACAATTTCATTATATATCTATGCTGTAATGCACGGTAACTTTTGGCTCACGCCGTATTTAATATTTATTTAAAATTTATTTGTTATATCATATCAGTTATTAATTGTGTATAAATATATATATTTTATAGAGTTAGACAATTATTTGAAACTGGATTAATGACTACAGTTTACCCCGACATAGTTTACAATATTCAGAAAATGGAAAATCAAATTATGCCGTTGGATCTAAATAATTTTTTAGGTGTCGCCATTCTTCTAATAGCTGGATATACATTATCGATTATCTGCTTTGTTGTGGAATTGTTCTTAGGAAAGAAATCGAAAGTCTTGCCTGATCGGAATAACGCCTAATCTATTTCATGGAAAAATTGACTGTATTTCCATATTTAAAAATATAACTTCATTCTATTGTGTAAAGCATAGCCACAAGTAATTACAGTATAACTTCGATAATCCGGCACTTTTCGAAAATTAGCCGATAATCCGGCTTTTTATTATTCCTTCAATCGGAATTTACGTTGTTACTGATCTTAATTAACACAGTATATTCATGCAGACCGATTAAAGAGCCTGCCTAAACAATTCAGAGCTTATAGAGGTTTGAGCTGTACAGAAATGTCTACAATATTCTCTTCTGGTCGCGTAAGTGCCGGATTGACGAACTTCTACTGTATTTTAAATGAACTTTTTCTATATTCATTAATTAATAGAAGTCACATTTTCCAACTTACAATTATTACAATTTTTATGATGAACTCAGAACATTTTTCCAATTATAATTATAAATTAGAAGTTCAGACTATTTACAAAAAATTATTTAATTTTTGAGTCTAACAATTAATCCTTCTCACTCACCATAGAAGTACACCTTTTAAATTGGTATTGAAGAAATCACTTCATAAAAAACAAATAACAATAGGTAAACATTGTTTTTTATGAAGTGATTTCTTAAATACCAATTTAAAAGGTGTACTTCTATTGTGCGTGAGAAGGATTAATTGATAGACTCAAAAATTAAATAATTTTTTGTAAATAGTCTGAACTTCTAATTTATAATTATAATTACAATTATTAAATAAAAATGCACTTAATAAAAAAAAATAAAACAAGCACGAATATTTAAATGACTTAGCTCATCGATAATGATATATTAATACGAAAGATAAGAAATGCTGATAATGAGTAATCGTTAACGCGTATATAAACAATTTCATATATTATTAATATAATTTCCAATGTAAATGTTGGGAAAAACTGTTATTAAATAGTTATAACGACATTTCTCCAATTACAAATAGAAAATTGTATGCAATTTCTCGTCTATCAACTTAACTATTTCAATATTTTAAAGAATGTATCTTTATATTAATATTTAGAAATTGTATTATAATAAATTTATATCCTCTATTTTCTTTTCTATTCATTTTCTGAGTAGCTGCCGTACTCAGAAAATTGAACTGTCAAGCATTCACTCATTTACTCAATTCTATTTATCTTCCATGATGACTTTACATAAGAAACTGACTCCCTCATCCTGTTTACGTGTTAGACACCTAAAGTAAACTCATAAAAGTAATACTCAGGCACGAGGGTTCTGTAAATATTAATGATTTGAAGAACACTGCTATAGAAAAAACTATAACAACACTAATCCATGTTGTTATAGTTTTTTCTAGTACAATTTTCCTGAATAGTGTCATAATCTTTCAGTATCAATTGAAACTGGATAAATATTAACCAAATTTAAAACATTAAAATGGTATTTGCGTTTTATTGAACATAAAATGTAATGACAATTTCAGAAATTTATTATTTGTAAGAATATTTAATTAATTATTAAATCAACAGTAAATAACAAATATATTTTATTATAATTTTACTTATTATTTTAAGTGGTTAATATGTAAAACAGAAAAATAATCATGGCATTTCAGGCATGTACTTCGCTTCTGTTTTCTGTTACTTTTTGGGTAAAGTTTGTACAATACATTTCTTTTTTCTTTTTAGTATATTTCGATCATCTACTTCTGTGTCGTAGTAAAACATGTCTTGTTTTTCGTCTATCTCATATTTTTTCTCAGCTGCATGTTTATTTCGTTCGTTCGATCCTTCTCCTGCGCAAATTTGCTGATTTTCCAAACATTTTATACTTTTACTCTTCTCTTTATCACGAGGAATGCAATATAATGCAACAATCACCAATATAAGAAAAAATATAAGTGAAGGATAATACCATATCCCGTAACTATCGTTTTCAACTTTTATTGCCTTTTTAGTTAAGCAAGTTCCGTTTCTATTCAAATAATTAAAAATTTAAATTTAATAGAAAACTCGAAAATAATTTAAAATGCACTAACCTTAAGCATATTCCTCTGTTCTGGTCACAAAGAATCCCTTCCATTTTCAAGTACAAATGGCCATCTGATGTGGATATGTTGAATGATTTTGCAGGTTTGCAAATCCCGGATTTCAATTTACAACATATGTAGCATTGCTCGTCTTTAGAGGAACACTGGCAAAGTTCTAACCCGTGGTCATTGCAAATATCGCTCGTACACATTCCATTAAGACAGGTTTGATAAGATCTCGAACAGACTGTTCCGTCCGGTTGAAGTGTTCCAGAACAAAATGGAGAATCGCCATTGCAGGTGCTGGAGGCGTCGAAACAAATTATGTTACTAAAGCATGTTCTGTTTTTATCCACGGAAATATTACATGAATTATCGCAACATTCCGCAGTCTGTGGTGAACATGTTTCTTTGAAAGTACATTCAAACGGTAAATCTTTAGGAATGCAACATTCAGAAAATTTGCATTCCTGTCCATAATAATCACAATCGCAGTCTTCATCTTTTTCAATAATTCCATTACCGCATGTCGATTTTCCAATTTTTCTGAGGCATTTATCTGTGTTTAGATGGAATTATTGTATATTTATGTAGAATTTATATTACTTAATTTTATTTTAAAAATTAAATTATAGACTCACCGTGCATTTTCATATACTCAGCAACAGTTCTCGTACAACAAGCAGAAAATTTCCAATTATTTGAACGAGTTCCAAAAGGAACGTAAGAATGCATGATATAATTTCCGCCATTTTCTTCTGGAGTACAAAGTTTACTCTCTGGAGGATCATCTACGCATCCAAATGCGTGACCCAATTGATGTGCCAAGTTTAGAGCTACTCTAAATCTTGGTATTTCTTTCTGTCTTTCTAAATATGTAACATAAGCCACATTTCTTCTCATTTCACAGTTGTTTACCGAATCTTCTTCACAAATACCTCCCAGTTTATTCAATTTTTTAAAAGAACAATGCGATTCAATCCAGAAATCTCTAATACAAAAATACACCATCATGCAATAATAATGATTATAATAAGATAAACTTTTCAAAAAATCGCCATAGTCGCTTAATCCTGTCTTATGTAAAGGATAACCTGGAACAGTTTCATTTTGAAAAATCATAATTTTTTCCACATAAAATCCGACTCCATCAGGATTTCCATCTTCATCCAAGTCCATATTTCGAAAAATGAGATCGGCAATGGTAACGTAGTAAAGCATGTCAGCAATGGTAGTCTCATAGTTGTAGTTGTTCCGTTTCAGATATGTGGGATCAGCTAATAATTGTAAAGAACATCTCCGTTCAAACCTGAAATCACCACATAATTTTATTACTACGAAGATCATTAATTAACTGTCGTTTTAACTTCTAATTATATACGAGAGGAGAAGGCGTGTGAGATAAAGCAATAATAAGACATGAGTGATTCTCGGGAGGACTGTCTAAGTGTTAGACACGCCAAGAAACCACGTGGCCAGGTATTGGTCAGGCGGAAACCCGCAACCATTGACGAGCGCAGTTAAAATGAATTGAGAAAACTCGGGAATTGAATATTTAAAATTTAATAAATTTTAAAATTATTTTCCAAAATGTTGTTGAATGACTTATTATTGTTTTTTCTCGTTTTTGCACATTTGCAAACCGGATACAAAATTAACTCAAAAAACACCTGAATCCTCAATTAAACATAGAGATACGGCGCTAAATCTATAATCTATAATAATATTATAAAGAGGTAATGTTTGTAAGTATGTATGTAAGTTTATATGCAGCAGGTAATCTCCGAAACTACTCATCCGATTTCAAAAATTTTTTCACCAATATTTAGAATGGAACTTCAGGGTGGACATAGGCTGTATATTATTCCGTTAAACATGGGAGATGGTTCTTTACGGTAAGCCTTACAGGGAAGACTTACTGGGAAGGCTTACCGTAAAGAACTCTGCTTCTATTTATACTATTTTAGATGCGATTTTTTGCGTTTTTGATTGCGTTTTAATAGGGTACGTCAACAGAATGTACACTAAGAAGGGATTTTTCGAAAAATTCCCCCCCACGGGGGAAGTGTTATCCATTTATAATAGATACATTTTGAGCCACAACAAGGCGTGGCGGGGTCTGCTAGTAATTTGATAAAACTGGAGAAGTAACCAAACGAAAGAAGCATTGAACCTTGTATAACTCTAGCAATATATTTAACAGTATTTCGACCTACTTCTGAAGGTCTTCTTCATTTGGAATATCAAACTTAAATGAAAAAGAACAATGACACAATCACCTTATGTATCTGAGAACTAACATTTATTCTCCTACAAACATTTTCTACCTGCTCCACAGGTCATCCTCAGGTATTTTTGAAACTTTTGAAACTTTGGAACGTTTCTTTGCATCGGTTCCAATTCGAACCAAAATTCAAATTTCTATAAGTGTTCGAACAATTCGTTTCAATATAAATATATAAAAGATACATAGAAAATGTTAGTTCTCAGATACATAACGTGATTGTGTCATTGTATGCAAAGAATCTGAGTGTTTATTGAAGTGAAAAAGAACATTCAAAAAACATTAAACTGAACGGAAATTTGAAACGAATGTTCTTCTTATTTTTTTATTCTAAAGATCAGAAACGATCGATCAAGAAAAGATCAATCATAAGATCAAACACGTAAGGTCACTTTTTTTGTTACTAGATTTGGGTATTTTTCGAGTTAGTTGTACGTCCAATTTTTGCAATAATTACTGGACGCAAAGATTTAGAAAAACCAAAATTGTCCTAAATACTAGTAATATTATGAATATAATTTAAAATTAATTGCTACAATTAATAAATTTAAAATTTCTTCAACAGTATACTATATAAAACTTTTACCTTGTTTTATCAGTTAAAAGCATTGGGTTATACATTTCAGAATCTGTGCAGTTGTGATGTCGTTTAGAACTATAACTTTCAGTAGAATTTCTTTCGTCCATTTCTTCACAATAATTTATTTTTTCCTTGAATAAATCATTTATTATCACGTCATTTAGTTTATAGACGAAAGATGTCTTCTTATCCTTAAAACTGGGATCGTAGATAAAACTTTCATCCGTAGGTTCCAAGTAGAATATTTCATTATCCATACTAAATCTTCCTACGAATCCCCTTTTGTTAAAGTAACCTATGGCTGAAGATTGGATCCAGTTATTAACTGTTCCTTTAAGAACATAAGCACCAGATAAACTTCGAAGATACATCTTTTTTACTTTATCGTCATTGTATAGTAACACTTCAGCTGTTGAAGATAAGATGGATTCGTCTTTGTGTAGATAAAGATTAATTCCTTTTCCAAACACGAAAAATGATACGTTGAAAAATGTATCATTATTTTCGGAAAATTCATAAGATACTACATCTATGAGATTTCCTTGTACCGAATAAACATCTGATTGCAATTGGTAGATGCTGGATTCCTCGGACAAGAAACTGTCTAATTTTAAATAAATGACAAAATCCAAAGCAAATAAATATCTAATAAAATGCATTTTTATAATCCTTACGAACGATTTACTTCGATTTTTTCCGATTCGAATATAGAATAACTTTCGAATTTCAAAATTTGAAAACGGTCGTGTTCAAAATTGGAATAAAATTTTTCGAATTTTTAATATTTTAAACGTTTATCAGCGCTTGTTATAATATGCAAGTATTGTAAGTTTCATCTGTCCACCAAACCAACGACATATAACTACTAGACCGCAGATTCGGTCGCCATCTTCGAAGCGAATTAAACGTGCGACCGCCATGACACTTTGAGGCAGAAAGCTGCAGGAAATACCTAATACAGATACGACTGTTCGTCAAATAAATACACAGTTTTCACGACTATAATTTGCAAAATTGATAAATAATAAGTGAAATAGTCAAAATGCTCTGAAAAATATTAAATTAATCATTAATAATAAATACCAGTAGTTGAATTATTATTCATTTCGGCTGCCCGTAAATGACGTCCACATTGGAAGAAAGGGAGGAGGATTAGACAAATCCGACAAAAATCGGACAAGGGGAAAGGGAGGGTTGAGCTTCAGTGGACGTCCGTATATTTCATTAAAATGTATACAGTTTACGCATTATATTTATTTCGGAATTTCTTGTACGTTTCATTTTAACTTGTATCTATCGTTCGTAAAGTAATAAAGGAGGGTCGAGTTTTGTTGGACGTCCGAAGAGAAGAGGGAGTTACGGAAACTTAGTCAAACTGGGACAAGAGGGCGAAGAGAAGTAAAAACTTCAAGGAAAATGCGGACATAATTTATGGACGACCTCATATAAATATTTTCAATACAGTAACCCATCAATAAACGTTACTTATTGAACTTTAACATGAACAAGTTTGATATGCATTTGTCTGACAGAAACACCACAACCATCCCGATTATCAGGTGTGGTGAGTCGGGCATTTGAGCTTCATTTTGCTGCTGCACACTCCGCTCAACATCACAGTATCATCACCTACGTTAGCCAAAGACGTTCGCTCTAGTAGTCTTGGTGACACTACTGGCCGTCTCTATAGAGGCCGAGGAAAATCAAACTTTGTAGCAACCGATGTTACGTGCAAATAGATGTATCTGGTCAGTGTGTAGAAACGTCAGGTTCAAAGTGCCAATTGCAACGAACAATACTATTGCTCGATTTCCATTCGTCACGGCGTATCGCTCTATCAACTACCGACCGAAGTACAGTAGAGCATCGATTATCCAACCCCCGATTAACCGTCACCTCGGTTAACCGCGACCGCGTTCTAGTCGGCAAATTCAAATGTCCGCTAGTGATGTGGCGCTACAATATTTGGCTATGTCTTGGCTACTTTAATAGTATTTTTACGTGTTTTAGCTGGCAACACTGGCTCGACCATGAAAGGGAGGCAAGTATTTAAACACGTGCGACTAAATATCCAGATGGCACAAAGCTCTGATTGGTCAGCTGAATGACGTCAACCCACCGAAGTATAGATTATATTTTGTGGTCGTCAGAACGAATCATGACGAAATCGATTATTTTTTTTAGTTGTCGTAATATGGAGTGAGTATAAAGTGAAAATACAGCTGATTATTATTTTTTGAACATTTAACTTCATACTTGATCTTTATGCACCTCTGAACCAAATCATACACAATAGATCATTTTAATAGTGCGATTAGTGTTTTAAATTTACGTGCACAGATAATAAATAACAGAAAATTTATACTTTGTTACAGATATTATTCATAAAAAGTTCGAGAAAGGATGAAATTTATAATTAAGATAAGTCAGAATATTCTTTGAATTTGTCATATGCATTTAATATAGTTAGATGAAACAATAAAATTAACTAAGTTTTGTATACCTCTGAAAGAGAAATTTTCACAAATCTTGCTTAACAAATTATAAAGTTTAAATGTAAAAGTTGTTGAACAATTTTGAATAAAGAATATTCTCCATAGATTACTCTTATCAGAATTTTTTTTAAAAAATGTTTTAGTTAGAATTGACAGTTCTTTCTGTCAATAGACATTTTGTGCTTTTGAATGTCAGTTCAAAATCTGTGTGTTAAGAAACAATACTTTTCAAATTTACAGAAATTTCATATATCCAGTTCCATCATGGATATATCTGTAAATATGTTTAATGAAATTTGCATGACCATTTTTCAAATTAAAGGTATAGATTTCTTGTATAAATTATTTAACAATCAATAATGCTGTAAGTATTTAAATTCCTTTGAATATAATAGTTATATATGTTTTAAATAAGAATTTCCATACATTTCATCATGGAAATTGTTTATCAATATAAGTGTCAGGAAAAAGTAATGTTACATTTGTACTTTAATGTTTTCATAGTAAACTATTTTTTTAATTTTTTAATATTTGAAGACAAGTTCGCCCAAATAGGGATCACCATTATTTATTTTTGCGTTCAAGACAGTACATTTCCGGCGACCGACCTTCCTTTCTAGGCTACTAGCCTCCAAAAAGTTTAAAAAAGTCCTTTTAAAAAACACAAAAAAATTTCCAATTAAAAACACATAGATTTTCTAAATTCAGAACTGGTGTTATACGAACATCTTTCTTGTTACCATCTATACTTTATCGGTGGTGTTTCAGCCTTTTATCCACAGAAAAGAGAGCGCTGGAAAATGTAAATTAAACAGGTTCCTTCTGGTGACGATATTTTACAGTCGTAATTCGTAATTTTTTCGTCCGATGGTTCTTTTTATTTTTTAATATTTGAATATTAAAAAATAAAAAGAACCATCGGACGAAAAAATTACGAATTACGACTGTAAAATATCGTCACCAGAAGGAACCTGNTGTGCTATATACCTAGTTGCATAGAAAAATATATATCCAGTGTCTATATTTAAGTTTTCACAGGATTTGATTTGAAAAGCAAACCAATAGATTAGTGAATTTGTAGAAAAAAATAACTTATTATTTAAAATGTTTTAACAATTATGCATTAAAAAGTATGAATTATGTTTAGGTGAAAATATATATTAAATTGTTAACTAATCTGCACTTCCACTTAGCATATTCTGTTGTAATATATATATATATAAAACATTAAATACAAGTTTCTGTAAGGTTAAAAATACTGTATTGTCTAATAAAGAATGTAAAAAAAACTTAACTTACAATTTATATTTGATGTTTTTGATTATTTTATTATTAAAGTAAATGTGCAAAACAGATAAAAGTTACTTTTTGATGTTTAAAAATGTCTCAGCATTAAAGCCTTTGATATCATGTAACTTAGTTTAATGTTAAAATGGTTGCAAAATTTTCAATTAATGTCAATACACATAAGAGCTAGTGAAATTATAAATAAGTGCCTTTTATCAAGTTTTAGATGAAATGTCTATAACTATTATATAATGTCTTCCCGCTCTCACAACAACAACAATACAAAGTTTAGGCTGATCGATCAACATTTCCGATTTTAGTAGGTTGACGTCATTCAGCTGACCAATCAGCGCATTGTGCCATCTGGATATTTAGTCGCACGTGTTGGAACGAACGCCATAACTTTCGCGCCATCTAAGGGATACTTTATTAATTAAAATTACAATAAATTCTTTAGTAAAAAATTAATTAAGCTCATTTTCGAATTAATTCGAACTTTAAGAATTTAACACTTGCATAGTAAATATTATACTATTGTGATCTGTTAAAAATTTACATTATTAAGCACAACGCATTGTGGGTAATACAGTAATAATAATCGCTTCGGCCTGCCTCTCTGGTCGTCCAGGTTCGAATGAATTTTTACGAGAAATCTGTTCTGGTTTTTCTGCTGTAATCTTTCACCACCCTGTCGAATCCACGATGTGTGTATTGATTAAAAAAACTGCCCTGTTCCTGACCGCAGAATGGAAAAGTTAAAAATAAATAAACAAAACTAGGAAGATTGAATGACTGATGTGGTAAAGATACCAAAACACCAAAACACCAAAACTCCTTTCTGAGAGGAGTTCGAGTTCAGGTCTTCTTAAGATTTCAAAAGTTTCGTAACTGGATAAACCTGAATGACTAATCAGGAAACTTCTGTTGTAATCCATTTATTTAATAATTAGGGTTGGGCTGGCTGGTCGAGGTAAGGGACTTTCCCCAGTAGGAAGTCGTTTAAAAATTAATATATGATAATATAATAAGAATAAACATAACACTAAGCTTTCTCGAATATATACAGTATTATTTTTACAGTAAAAATTCCGTATTCGTATCTTGCTTGTTACATTATTGCATCATTGTGAAATCACTTGACTTCGGAGACTTTCGATTGATTACGTGTAAATACATTTGGCAAATCTCTCCTTTTGATTACGTACATGAATGAATGACAGAAAATATTTGCAGAAATTTTTACAACGAATAGTTTATTCACGTAGCTAGTTAGTAGGCTTATAACAATAAATTCATATGCCACTAATACCACTAAAACAATGCCCGACCCCTCCCTCCTCATAGTGTACAGTGATTTACTGGTAGGGAGGTGATATATCGTGTAATGATGTAACTCCCCTCCCTCTGTTAAACTCTATAATGAAAGGCAGTTATAAAAGTTATAATTTTAATTGCTGTCAGCCTATATTTTAGTTTCCCCCGCATCTAATTTTCTACTCCGGCCTAATATTGTTAAAGTAATTAAATGGTGTTGCGAGCTACCAGTTGACAAGCTCGTATTATTATACGACATTTTCGTCTTCAAAAATAGGCTGTAAGTATAAAATTAAATGTTCTATAGTTGTACTATTTTGTTGATTTTTCTCCGGAAATTTGTGTAATTTAATACAATAAATAAATTTCTAGATAATCTACTCGATATCAATGGAGATAATAATATATTTAACCAATCTGTGCAGCTAGATATAAATTGTAATTGTTCTCAACAGGATGTAGATGGTTTGTGCCCCACTTTTAAGCAATTTCTGAGTTTTTACTTAAGGCTTTTTGAAATTCTTCCGGATTAATTTAACTCATCTAGAAGCCGGATATTCTAGTACACTCACTTTTCTTCTTTTTTTCCTTTCATATATATATATATACAATTCCAGTTTTTGACTTAAAAATAGTATATTACACATAACAAAATATATATTTAAATTCTTTAAATGTTATTTTGTATTAATACTATTTTCTAATTTAATTTAATAAAATAAATATTAATATAATCGATTTTTTCCATAGATGGGACTATTTTTTTATTTTAATTCGTTGATAATTTATAAAAAAATTATTGATATTTTAAAACATTTTTCAGTGATTTTATCGGTAATTCAGGATAAAATTCATTTATTTAGAATATTTTAAACATTTTTCTATTTTCTTTCCTTAAACTTAAAGAAAGTTTACTAACACCATTTAACTTTTGGCATTCTTTATTATGTAGGAGAGTCGTGCACTTCGTTTATGTCTAGCCACTTTATTGTGTGTTGCAACAGATGGATCTACGAGATGAGTACTTTTAAGAAGTAAGTTTCAATCCTATTGCAATAATATTTTCGATTTTTAGAACTAATATAAGCAACTCCACTGCATCTTTTATCCTTTATCTTCATTCTTTGATTCTATTAGTGAAGTCCAAACCACACATTTGTGATGCTCTCCTTTAATGTAATATAAATTATTGTAATATAAATTAATGTAATATAAATATTAATGTAATATAAATTAATGTAATATAATCAATCATCCTAATTAGTAAGCTCGTCTTCAAATGGATCGTAAGTGCTTTATTGATATCGATTATACCAAATGTATCTTGAATATCACACAGATATGAATTTGGTACAGGAAAATAGTAGAAAAAATTACATGAAATTAGTATTTTCACTAACAAAATGTTGATTTTTTTCCCTTTTTCTCTAGTGACCCCGTCTAAGAATCTATTAAGTACTGTATGAACCGTGTTCCAATTTATAGAATGTAATTTCCAACATAGAAAGGGGTTACAGGGAAGAATATACAACAGATATATATAGAGAATATACAAACTTAAATAAATTAAATACAGCTATTATCAACAATAAGCAATACAAAATTATAGCAATTTATGAATAATATTCAATTAAATATATAAATATAACCTAAGTAGCATTAACGTTAAGAGTATACTATTCCCATCCCATAATGTAGAATCTTCGAACAACAGCTGTGACGAAAACAGAAAAATGGCCGTTGTTTAGAAGTTATTTTGTATGCGACATAAAAAGAAGCGCTCCTGAATAAATGGTCGCCATTAACAGGTGGCCGTTGTCGAGTTGTGATCATAATTAGAGGTTCGACTGTAGTAAAGTAAATAATTCCACATATAAATTCCATTAATTCTACATAATAAAACATAAATTTTCATTAATGTTATGTAATAAAACGTACAAACTACACATATGAAGTACTACTGTACAGTACATATATTATTTTAATATCAGGAAATGCAATAACCTATCACAGAAACTGTATTAACAGTAACAAAAAAGCACACCCTAGAAATAAGTTATAAATTTTCTTTATGAATTATTGTAACAATGTTTTTTATATTCATAAATCAATTAACAATTGTTATTGCTAGAAATTAGTTTAAGCACGAGGAAATTTTAGTTTTATACGCTATAGTAGCATGCTTAACATTACAATGACCCTAGAAAGAGTTTTGTGGTATCTGTATTCAATACTTCCTCAATTCACTATAGTAAAATAAAAGTAAATGTTAAACATTTAAAATTTAAAATATAAATCAAGTTTAAATAATATTTTAAATTATATAAAGTAAAAACAATGTAAAATAGTTACAAAAATTCTAACTTTATGTTGCATAAAGCTATAGATGTATATCGACGTAGACCATTATCTGTTTTGAAAAAAGGAAGATTTGCTAGTATTTAACGATCTATAAATATATTAAAGGAAAATTTTCCTGTTTTAAAGTTTGTTTAAATCTATAAATTATTAAAATTAAGTTATTGAATTTGTTTTATAACACTGTGTAAAGGTGTATATTATCATTGTAGTTATTTCTACGCTTTATCTATGATGATGAAAACAAGTCGAGAAACTATAATAGAGGGATCGTGAAGGATAGGAAAAAAAAGGGGTGCCTCACTTAAACAGCGCATGCGTATTAGAGGAACAGGTTGTGATGCCTTTCACCTACCGAAACCAGGCCACTGTGCTTGGTCTAGCAGTTATTTCCGCTTACAAATAGGACACGTGTGAAAAGTAGATAGAATTTCCGTTGTCTCGGTGCTTGATGTGTCTTTCGGATTGTTAGGCAAAAGTTTAGGGAGAGTGATACAACAAATATATTAAGAAATGAATATAAAGTGTAAGGGACTGTATAGAAACATTACTACGAAACTCCAGGTAAGATCAGTTTTTTAAATATTTTCGGAGCGCTTTACACTCCGTTTATCGAGTAAATTACCTGTATTTTTATTAATACAACTTATTCTTCACTTAAATGATTTTTTTTTCTTTAGTCTTCCAACTAAATCTTACCTATCTTCTGTTTTACTGTGTAAAATGGTTAAGTAGCTTTACTAGTCGGAGATTTTTATTTGTATATTTTATAACATAAGTTATATAATTACGTGATATAACTATATATAGATTGGGTAGGTAATTCGTGACGTCGTAACGGGTATTAGAAAAATCTAGTTCATTGACCTATACAGAAGGTCGTCCATTAAACGGACGACTTTCCTGTTGTGACAATGTTGACAATGACCTAATTTTTAAAATCTCTGTCGTTTTTCTGAATTTTATTTAATTATTTAATAATATTTTTTTAAGTTAACTATAATTAAAGAATAGATTTTTGTGTATTTATAAGCGTATAAAACAAAATTTTCTATCAGAACTGTGTCAAAATCTAAGTTGCATGGTCTTAGATATGACATAATCTTGTAAAAACTCTTGTAAAATCCGGTTTGCTGATTTTCAGCTGCGTAAAAATATTCTTTTACTGTACATAAACTGTGGATTTTATACAGATATTGTACCTCTAGGCTGGGTTATTTCTGGTTCTACACCTGTACAGAGGGAAAAACTTTCTAATTCTATTATTGCACACATATTCAACATGAATTATCCTCATCCATTACTTCCAGGTTTATAACTGTATATAATGCAAAACTATTTTGGTTCTCGTTGGCTTGGGTTTTAAAAATTACATGACTTTGTATTGTTCTATATATTTTTATATGCAATTATTAATTTATATATTTTATTTTATTTACAATCCGACTTTTATAAAAGGAAACCAACAGAAGATTATAGACACAGGGCTCCAAAATTTAATCTTTTATATAGAAACATGTCAAGTGATAAAAACTGAAAAGTGAGTCTCTATCTGGATTGAATTTACACATAACTCGAACAAGTTAGGGCCTCACGCTACCAGACTATAGCTTACAACCCTGAGCGTTTAAATTTTAGTAGAGGGGAATGGCTTCTCATATGTCATAGCTTAAGGCAACGAGTCTAAATCCAGCCTTGGGCCTCATATTTGTGTCTAGCCGAACTTATCTTTAGTTTATTCTCGAGTAAAGAATTTGAATTTTAACGGTAAATAATTCTTTGCAAATACAATTAAAATATATACGTCCAAATTTAAAAACGTAAACAGTAACATACCGAACGGGCTTCTCAGGCATGAGATGCCAGAGTCATTAAAACTATTGGCATTCTCAAATTATACAAAATTACATAACAATCGGTTAAAATTACGTGATACTAGGTATAAGACCCAATCACAACGGGCCTTGTAAATATTATGCATTAGTCTATAACTTTATATTATTAACGAAGGGTCGGTAAGTTCATAACACAGGAACCATGAAGGCCCCTTGATGAGGTCTGATATTTAAATAATCAATTTTAAATTGTACCGTTGCAACGAGATAATGAAAAGTAGTACACCAGTTACTAGTCTATATAAATAGTAACTGAATATAGTTTAAAAAATGTCGGTTTTAATGTTTAACTGCTGAATCATAATTTCTAATATGTATTTTATTAGCTTTCCACAGGACCATTCACATACTTCTAAGAGGCACTTTCTAGTTCTAAAACAAGAGTCAAAGACTCTCGACTTATGACCTTGATAACTTAAAGGAACAGGAAAGAAATGAGGCCTTTTACCTTCTAAAGGTGAATAAATATATAATTTATAGCATTCGAAATGTTAAAAATAATTGATAAATCGGATTTTTTATTGCATAGATTTAGCTTTAAAACTGTACATTTTATGCTCTAATTTTAGTTGACGTACTCGCATGTCCTGACCTTTTATATACTCATTGTGTTAATATTTATAAATAAAGAAAGAATAATCTTATTATTCGTTATCAGTCAGTTGGAACCAATAAAGAATAGCTTTTTGTCGAATTGGGACATTTTCTGAGTATTCACAATTGATTAAAGAATAAAACAAGATCAGCACAATATACTTAAAATTTTAATTTTATTGGTTATTTTCCTACGCTAATTAGAATAAAAAATGTTTATTGGTTAATTTAAATTACGTTTTCTTACTCTTATTACTCTAATTCTTGTTCTATCTATTGACAACCGATAGGAAGCATTGTATTTAAAATGAAAGAAACATGACCGTTTTTATTGGTTAATTTAAATATTTATTACACGCTCATTGGTTAAGTTGTTGTCTGGATGACGTTTTAGAATGTAAGTACAGATTAATTATAATTATCTAGGCTAAAATAATTTGATTTTTATAGAACTAGAACGGTAATTATAATTGGAAGGATCAAGAATTTCATGCTCTCTCGTCAAGATAGGTAAGGCGTATTAATTTAACTTTAATTAAATTTTTTCCTCGAATTAATTTTTTTTTAATCTATATTCTCGCAGTTAAACATGAAGCTAAACGTTGTGGATCGCTTCCTGACTTTAAAATATAAAAAATTAGGATCTTTGATAGGAAGCCATCCTAGCTACTTCGTCATTGTACCAATTTTCTTATCATGCCTCCTAGCAACTGGTGTTCAGAGGATAAATTATATATCAGATATAGAATATCTCTTCAGTCCATATCATAGTAAGGCTACAGAAGTGAAGGCATTTATAGAAAAGAATTTTATCACTAATATGTCATATAATTTCGATCCTGGTAGATATACCAGAAGGGGAAGGTTTGGCACATTGCTGTTGGTAACTAAAAATGGTAAGAATATATTACAAAAGGACATTTTCGAGCGTGTTATTGAGATTGATCAGATGATACAGAGCTTAATAATCCATAAAGATGACAAGACCTGGACTTATAAGGAGCTCTGTTGTAAAGATAAAGATGGATGCTATAGCAATTCTTTCATCGAATCATTAAAACACAATAACAGCCATTTTAAATATCCATTAGATATTAATAAGAAGAACCTGAAAGTGTATTTCTACGGTGGAACACTAGGTGGCGTTAACACTCATGAAGATGGTTACGTCATTTCTGCAAGAGCTATACGACTCCTATATTTTTTGGATGATGATAATAATTATAAAAATGATCTGGCCTTACTCTGGGAGAGGAAATTTATAAGTTCCTTACAAAATATTCAGATCGAAGATTTGACATCTGAGAGATATGTTTCCAGTTCTGTAGAGACAGAATTTCATAATAGCACTATGGCACTGATGCCATTGTTGGTGCTAATATCTTTCATGATGATTTTATTCTCTGCATTGACCAGTATTACTTCAGATTGGATAAGTAACAAACCGTGGTCTGGTGTAATTGGGTGCATGTCATCAGGATTATCTGTGGCATCTTCGTTTGGTTTGCTGATGTACATTGGAATACCTTATATCGATATGAACTTAGCTGCCCCATTTTTGACATTAGGTAAAATTCGTATTAATGTATATATTCTTTAACAATAAATAATTATCTTTAATTAAGAATAATTTTCCTGACATGGACTAATTACTTAAAATTTTGGATTATTTATAGGTATTGGAATGGATGACACTTTCGTCATGTTAGCAGCTTGGAGAAGAACAGATACTAAGAAAAGCGTTGAAGAAAGGTTAGGAGATGCTTACTCAGAATCGTCAGTTTCCATCACAATAACGTCTTTGACTAATTTCATAACGTTCTGTTTTGGAATGACTACGCCATTTCGTTCCATTCGCATATTCAGCGTTTACATTGTATCTTGCATATTGTTTGCCTACATCTATCAGCTAACATTTGTAGGCGGCTGTATGGCCATCTGTGGTTATACCGAACAGAAAGGATTGCATTCCATCACTTGTATGCCTGTTGATCCAATAAAAGATAAGAGTAAGTAACACTAAGTTTTTTTTTCCTCTTGTTCGTAGTGATGTTGTTTAATAAATATTTCTTTCGTTAGAAAACAGAGGACTCCTATATCGACTGTTTTGTTTGCAAGTGAAAAATTCAGAAGAGAATAAGGAAACGATACTTGTTACATTTTGGTCGAAAATGAGCGACGTCTTAAATTACTCTTACGTAAAAGTGCTTATTGCAGCCATCTTTGCAATCTACTTAGCTGGTGCTGCTTGGGGATGTACCAACTTACAAGAGAAAGTAGACCTGAGAGATTTTGTTTCTTATGATTCTTATGTGATGAGATACTTCAATACGTATATTCAATATTTTCAACGTTATCAAACTAGAATACAAATTGTTTTAAATGCAACTGTGGATTATTCCGATCCTTCAGTTCAGAATAATATTGAAGAAATCTTACAGAGTTTTGAATCTAGTGATCATTTATCTGATTCTACTTTAACAGAATCTTGGCTAAGACACTATTTACAGTTTATGAAAGATAAAAGAGGAAAAATACTCTTGGAAAGTTATAATACAAGCTCCAAACAGGGATTTCTAGATGGTTTGCGCGAAGTATTTCTTAGACTTCCACTTGCTTCTAGATATAATTATGATGTTAAATTTAATGAAAACAATACTGATATTATTACTAGTAGATTTTTATGTCAGACAAACAAGACAACAGATACTAATTCCGAGATTAATATGGCTTTGGAACTAAGAAAATTGGCCGAGAAGACCACGCTTCCAATATTAGTTTACAATACCTTTTTTCTCTTCGTCGATCATAATTTAATGGTGCTACCATTAACGTTGCAAACCATATCCATAGTTTCTGGCGTCATAGCTATTGTAACATTCTTGTTCCTGCCGAGTATTAAATCCGTTATATGTGTCACTTTTACCATAATTTCTATTTTAGTAGGTGTTATTGGCTACATGACTCTATGGCACGTTAAATTAGATCCAATTGCTATGATCAATCTTATTATGTGTGTTGGATTTTCTGTGGATTATTCTACTCATGTTGTATACGCATTTATAACTTGCAAAGATAGAACTCCTGGTGCCAGTTTGAAGAAAGCTCTATGTGATGTCGGTTTGTCGATATTTCAAGGCAGTGTATCAACTATAATTGGTGTTATCGTGTTCATAGATCCTCCGTCATATTTGTATGGTGTCTTTTTCAAGATAATGCTCCTCGTCATTCTGTTTTCGGCTCTTCATGGGTTAATTATTTTACCTCTGCTGCTTTCGTTAACCGAAGGAATATGTTTGAGATCGTGGAAGTTACCATCTTCCAAAGATATTATACCAAGCAGTAATGTTTCTAGCATTCATAAAATGCCAGAAGATCAATTACCTACAGAAAATGGCATTGAGACTAACCATAATAGCATTACATTAAAGAAAACAATAAGTAATAAAGAATATATCAATGAAGGTTTTACACCCGATTTACAAGTTAAAACGATAAAGTATGAAAGTTGAGAATTAATATCTGAAAATATTAGATTTTAATAATTTTTTAATGTAAATAAGTGTTTTTTTCGTTGTTACCGTTCTATCGAAAATTTTAATAATTTTTTGATAGACACCATTCTCATGTATATATAATCATCTTTTAACAAAAATACTTAATAAAGCATTATTAATATGTTTGTTTCTTTATTTATAAAATTGTTTTAATTTTTTTCAAATTTCCTATTACTATAATGTGGTTTGATGTAGAAACTTGTAATTCTTGCTAAGGGAATGAATGGGGACAACGTTTAAAGATAGAGTTAGTAATAACTGATGTAAGGATAAAGTGTGTAAATATAAGTTTGTATAGTTGGATCACGTTATGAGGAGAGATAGATGAGAATCAATAAACGAGTCATGCACATGACTTAAGAGCTTTGACTTAAAATTCTCTCTCTCTCAACAGTACATTTAAGACTTAATTCTAAAAACACTGGGAAAGATGTATTAGAGTTAAGGATAGGGAAGGAACCATTGGTTAAAAATTATTACTCCAATAGTTATGTATATAACAGTTCAGTATGATGTAAATTTGTACACTAAGTAGATCTTTCCTATAAAAACGTGTGTGCATTAATAATGGCTCAGCAGATTTATTTATTATTGTATTAGGAAAACAAAGGTCAATAAAAGGTCGAAGAATTCTTAAAGGAGTCAACCGTCAAAAATTGTAACACTAAATTTAGAATAGATTTTTTCGTTTAAATAAGTCTTTAATTTGTTTATCCAAGACAGGGTAACATTTTAATTTTAGCAGCTTGCGTTTAGTTTGTATTTATAAACGCGTGCAACACTTTATTAAATCAAGCCCGTAGGGAACAAGTCCGACCGGTCCGACAATTGCAGGAACACTTTTTGCATCAAGCGTCACAAATACAAATAGAATTTCAATCGTTCTCGGAATATAGTTTGTTATGCACTGTGGTGACCGTTATACTTGGAGGTAATTTCACTTATTTGTCCAATCACCCGCTGGCGTATAACACCATCAAATTGACTCTTACCTAAGTGTGAAAAATGTAACCTTCCAACAACAAACATCGCGCTTGCACATTCGCATTTCAATGTTTCTTGTTTGCATTTGTCATAAGTACTAGACATATTATGTTATTGTAATTAATTTTTAATATCCTAAACCTGTAAAATTAACTATTAAACAGTTGAATCTGGGCATCGTACAAAAAAAAATCATGGCATTTAGCAAGTCTATTATTAATATTGACGAGGTGTGTGACGTAGGTAACAGACTTCATCAGCCTCTAAGTGAATTTCAATTTCCAAAACGTTGTTTTGGAAAGAAAACAGTAGTGAAACGATCATTCCAGAGTGTTTGGTTTAACAAGTGGAAGTGATTACACTACGTCTCTGAAAAGGTTGTTGTATTCTGCAGTTTCTGTTGGCAAGCTTTAAAACCCGTAAAGATTATTTGAGTTCGGGAAACTGGAACCTTCTTTTATAACTAAAGGATTTTGTAATTAAAAAGACGCTACCGCGACCTTCAGAGAACACGAAAAAGTGACTGTCATAAGAAAAGTGCAGAATCGATACTTCCGCACGTGAAAGACATGGAAGAACAGATCTCGAAGACTACAGAAAATAAGAAAAATCGCAGCTACTTATTAAAGACGATTCAGAATATTAAGATGTTGACAAGACAAGGCTTTGCACTACATGGGAATGGCGACGAGTCTGATAGTAATTTCATGCAACTTCTGCATTTACGTGCAATTGATGACAAAAGTATACTTATGTACAGTACTTAGCAAAGACAGCTGTTAAATATACCAGCCCAATGGTTTAAAATGAGTTATTGAACTTTATGGTAGCTCAGCTGATGCAGAAAATTGCAGATATTTCGAAAGAACATTTACTATGCTATTATGGTAGATGAGGTGATTGATTCCCAAAACAAGCAGCATGTTATTATTTGTTTGAAGGGCTAATTCTTAGCGAACATTTCATTGGCTTGTATCACTTTGAACAGATTGACTCAGATTCGGTTGTGTGTAATTAAAGTTGTCTTACTTCGTTTGAATATAATGCTAAGCAATTGCAGAGGTCAATATTACGACAGATCGGCAAACATGTCAAGTGTTAAATCAGATATTGCTGCTCGGATTTCGGCAGTAGAGAAGAGAGCTATATTCACGCATTGCTATGGATACAGCCTGGATTTGATTGTAAACGATGCCATTAAAACATTAAGTGTGATGAGTGATTCAATGGATATAGTTCATGAAATTTCCAAAGTAGTTGAATATTCTTAAAGGTGTGATGCTTTGTTTTGAAATATTAAAGTGAAATTAACATCAGAAACACCAGGATTTAGAGTACTGTGTCTTATTCGTTGGACTAAGGGTGCAAATTTACCATCGTGTATTGTTGACAATTCCGCTGTGTTTTTTGTGGTCAGAATGCAAGAAGATTGTGAAAGATACTGAAACAAAAACACGAATAATTGGAGTCAAACATGAAATGAATGCATTTGAATTTTTGTTTGATTTACTTTCGGCTGAAAGAATTTTGAATCATTCAGATAATTTCAGTAAAACTTTACAGCAGAAGAAAATGTCTGCAACAGAAGGTGAAAAGGTTGCATTTATGACAATTAAAACATTCAGAAGCTTCAGAGGAATGTTTTGAATCGTTTTGGTGGAAAGTTGAAACACTGAAAAACAAATTCAGCATACATGATCCAAAATCTTGTCGCAAAAGGAAGCGCCCATTTAGATATGAAAAAGGTAAGGTGGTATTACTAAGACAGACTATGGTATTATTTTATGTAAAATGTACATTTTTCTTTTAAAGTGACGCATCATTTCACCATTTTGATGGTGATATAAAAGATACATACCGTCGACATTATTACGAAGCGTTGGATTTGGCAGCGGATTGCGTAAAAGACAGATGCGATAATCAAGTAGGCTACAAGACTTACCAAACGCTAGAAAGTCTACTGGCAACTGCGGCTTTCAACAACATAGCTGACTTCAATGACAAATATGAATCAGTTGTTAGCGTCTATGACAATGAGTTTAATGTTCCATTCTAAAGGCCGGATGGCCAAGCGGTTAAGGTGGCAGCCTACCGCTCTGAGGGACCCGGTTTGAATCCGGACGGGTCGAAAAATCCCCAGGAATTTTTTGGGGGTGGGCCGTCTGGATATATCGGGTCTCGTCCCTCACCACCCGGCTTGTTCATTGTGGGCCTGGTCGAACCCATAGTGACTTGCTAAAAGAGGCTCTCTTAGTGCCCACAGAGTGGAGAGTTAAAAATATAAATGTTCCACTCTTGAAAACTCACCTCGAAATGCTGTCGGCGAATACCGATGTTGAAACCACCACGGATCTTTCGGAGGTGATCAAACATTTGCAGCTAATATACCGGTAGTTCGTGTAAAAGCAGCTTCCTGTCAGAAGTTTTCAAGCTTGCAAAACTAGTATTAGTTTTACCAGTCACAAACATTGTTAGTGAAAGAAGTGTTCTCTACTTTACGTCGCACGAAACCTTACTTACAGTCTACAATGAGCCAAAAAAGACTTAACAGCCTAATGGTTCTTCATATCAACAAGAATGAAACTAATCAGTTGAATGAGTGTGACATCGGAAATGACTTTCTGCTCGGAAATAACTAGGTAACTATTGCCTAATCATAGGTAACTTGGTAGAGACTAGACCATGGCTATAAACATGGTAACCACTCCTTCTTTTTAGACAGGACCATTTTTTTATCCTTTCCTACGGCCCTGTAAATACTGATCAAGATACTGATAAAGCATTTTATATTGTGCAATCTAATATGCAAATCGTTATTATTAGAATTAATAGTCAACATTATAGAAGATTGGAGTTGAATCTAGGATTTTATAAGTTATTAGGTTTTTAAGTTATTTAGGTTTTTTAAGTTATTTACATTACGTAACATTATTAACATTACAATAATATGAATTACTTCAAAATACAAAAAAAATGGCTAAAAATTCAGGTAATTGTGTTTCCGTGTAACAATTTTTGAAAGAAAATAAGCAAAAAAATTATCGAAGTGTTATAATATGTATTGAATGTAAAGGTCTCATTAACAAATTTTGCCATTTGAATAAGACAAATTAATTTATTACAATGGTTCGCTGATTTATGCGCTTCCCTGTATAATACACAGACTGGAACAGTACCAACCGAATTAAATTTCATTTTAAAATTGTTAAAATTTAACAGAGTAGAAAAATAAAAACACTATTGTCAAGTAGTAATTGGAGTGTCAGTAATACAATCAACACTTATTGTGATATAAAACTTTGTTTCCATGTTAACTGATTTCTTAACGCTTCAGATCCTCTGATACATTGAAATCTAATGCTAGATATAACGATTTGACATTGTTATAAATATAAATATAAAATGGGGATATCTTATAAATTACAGGCAAATTTATATAATAAATTTCTTAAGTCCAAGGATGTATTTGAAGTCTTGATTTTTATTTCAGAAGATCAATAGCACTAATGAAGTTATTGCAGAATTACGCAAAATGTAAAAATAAACATTGCGTACGTGTCAATAGATTACTATACTGTATATATAATAGATATAAATACTTATATGAGGCTACTGCGATCGAATTAGGCATATGCAATGGATGGGATGTGAAATAGCTTTCTAGTATGCGATATTGAGAACGAATAGGGGCTTACAAAATGTATTACACTCGAATATAGTAGCTCCTCCAAACGTGTTCTTTGTGAATCAAGTTAATTCTTTAATTACTAAGGCTTAACCTTGCTAATTAAAGAAAAGCTTTGTTTTGTTTTTGCGCTTCCACACTGTCTTCGCTAATCCATTGTGAGCTTTAGCGTTTAGTGGCTCATACCGAAGGCACTAACTAAGTCTAGTCTCCAATCACAATGGTTTTTCATAAGTTTAGATTGTTGTTAGCTTCTCTGTGTTTATCGCATGCTGTATTCTTTGCACCATTTCGTTATCAGAAAGTGCGTGTAAACAAAACGTGCAAGACCTTCATTTTGGGCAAATCTGTCAGAATGATATGATTTTGAGATTCCCGTGATATCCTCGACGTCTCTGAGAGATACACAGTGGTCAAATTTCAATACTTCTCACGCTTTCTCCATTTGATCTACCACACGACTCGTCGTTATCAACGTTTACCATGTAATCCGGAAATTCAGCAAACCACTGAAAATCACTAGTACAATCCAAATAATCACTTTCTTAAACTTTTTGCATTATTTGATATGTTTCGGTGCTGTTCTTTCAAGTTACAGCATACTTTGATATTCGTTTTTTTGTACAAAAATACATCAAGAATGCACTGTTGCTTTGGCGCAGTTACTATTGATTGAATCAATGACCGCAGCTGAAACTGTTATCAAAAATTTTTGTTTTTGAATCTGTTCCTCATATACATAAATATCAATTTTTGCTTTCTAAATTTGTAATATAGATTTTTTTAAACATTGATTTTATTAAAAATGTTTAAATTGTTTAATGTTTCAACTTCCTACTATGAGTTGCTGTTGTAAATCTAACACGTTATTAATGAATAAATTATGCATTAGTAGGCATTTAAAACATATGTCCGAGTGCCTTTCCTCTATATAAATTTGCGTGCTAAACTTACATTTATTACTTTCGTTTCACTTGTTGATTTGCCCTATAAAAACGCTCTACTACTTAGTCTATTCGGTACATGCGAGCAACGAGTGGAACCAAATTACTGAATTTGCATTTAACTATACAGAAAAACAAACAAAAAGAAAGTATACAAGTACTTAAGATTTTGATTTTGATAAAAAGAAAAATTCTATTTATAAACGCTGAAGTAGGCAGATGATCTAAATTCTGATGTTGGAAAGACATAAATACTAATTACAATATTCATTTAATTTTATTCATAGGTCCTAAAAAAACAGCCATCTGACGCCTTTACTGTCTCGGCCAACAGGCAACAGCATTAAAATTTAAACATGGAAAAAAGTCGTAGTTCGTCTCAGATAGGTTGGACCTGAGAAAGAAAAAATATTTATTGTATTGAAATGACCAGATTCCGAAATGTAAAAAGCAGGAGTCTAGACCGAACACTTTGATATGACATCGAAATCTAGAAAGGTTTGGTGACGTCATTGATAACAATGCTTCGAACAACCAATGAACATTTTACTTATCCGTACACTCTTTTTTACAAAGTGAATATAATTATGAAACAGTTCAAAAGTAGAACATTTTTCAACAGCTTAAAAAGCGGGACAGCATATTAAAAAGCGGGATTGTTCCGTCTAATTCGTGACGTCTGGTCATTTTATAATATAAAGTTTATATTATATAGACTATATGACACACATTATATGTATAGATAATCGTGGCATCATAAAAATGAATATTGCAGAATTTATGTAAATGAGTTTCTAACGCCATATTATCATGAATTATGTTATAAAAAGGCTGCTGCGTCTTATTTGGATACGAAATGGATTCGGTATTTTTAATTTGACGGGATACGGGAACGTACACAAGCTGCCAACGGTGGTGTCTACCGGTGTTAATTATGTCTTAAACATCGCTCAGGAAAATAAATTACTTTATTCAAAAGATAAATAAGAATTTATTCTCTAACAGGTCGCCCTGTTCTGTTTTCACATCACCTCACGTAATGCACAGTGTTGCCAGCGCTCCAACACTTGATAACTAAATGATTACAGTATTGTCAAACAAAGGAAAAACTACAATACTTTCCCTTAATAAACATTTTAATCATGAGAAGTTAGTCCTATTTTATTACATAATTCCCTATTTTTTTGCATGCGAAAGATTTCCTAAATAAATCCGCTAGCATATTCTCAGTGGGGCAATACATTAGAGAGGTTGAGGCGCACGTTTTAAACGTGTAAACGTGTACGTGTGACGTTCGGCGCCGCTTTCCCGTAAGCCTAAAAGTTTGACGATGGTGTTTGGAATGTCGAGCGTGATTCCACCGACTATCCAAACACCATTGTCAAACTTTTAGGCTTACGGGAAAGCGGCGCCGAACGTCACACGTACACGTTTACACGTTTAAAACGTGCGCCTCAACCTCTCTATTGTCTTTATTTCCTTATTTTCTTAAATTTTATATTTAATAAATTGAAAAATAAATTTTTATTTAAAGTAATATCATATAAAATGAAATAATATTCATCGTAATGATGAATACTGTAATATTTTATTTTATATAATAAAAAGTTTTTGAATTTTACGCCCTCTGTAGTCAAAAAAAGAAACTCATACAATTCAAAATGGCGCTGGAGCTGCTGGAGAATCGAGTGAGTGAGCTGGAAAGAACCGTTTACGGTGACGAAAAACCGACTAAACCTACTTCTCAAGTTAGTAGTTAACATCTTATTTGACCTTAATTAAGAAATATTCGTATTTTTTGATAATATCCATTATAGTGGTGAATGATTCACGTGTTTACAATGTTAATTAAGGAGTAGTACACTTTATGATGAAAGTTTACTTGTAAATGCAATATTAACGAATAGTATTTCGAATGTAAACACTTTAACAAAAGCTTTCTTAGTTTCAGCTGATAGTTTGGTCGGTTAATGAAACATTTCGTCATTCAAAATAATGTGCACTTTTACGTCAACTCGACACTTGTATTACAAGAAAGTGAAATGATGTAGTGTGTGCTATTCTGACAAAATGTATAGACCTTTAACAAAGATCAGAAATTGGTAAGAATCAAGTGTCGCCTGAAGGGGGCGGGAACCCCCAACAGTGTCGACCCCCCTGTGCGATTAAATAATGTCTAATGAACCATACTCCTACGGGCGACACATCACGAGATATAGCCAGAAATTCTCGTATAATTAAACATTGCCTAATCCTAGTAGAAACCTCTATTGGTAGAGTTGACACCTACCCTTTGCAGTGTTCGTCTGCCTTTATTTAGTGATAAAATATAGTTCTTAAAGGCAAAATGGTAGGAAAATCAAAAAACATTACAACCGATATCGACGGCTAGTGTTACATAGTTTCTCAACCGTGTGGTAGAGAATCTTGTGAAAGAGAGCTTTTCTGGAAGATGTTGCTGGATGTTCAAAAACATTTTGTCTGTGACGTGTTAAATTGTGTGCCATTGCTCTGGTTTTCCGTGTGTGTTATTGTCAATGTTCTTACTTTGAAAAACAGAGGTGACAATTCTATTTGTTGGTATAAATAATGAATTTCCAAATTAAAGATCTTAAACAAAAGTGAATGAACTAATATAGTTATATATGTGTGTGTTTGTGTGTATATTCATACTCTCAATTTATCATGTTCTTCTGTGAAAATTAATAATAATTCACTTTTGTTTATGATGATATAAATTAGATCTATAAATCTTTATAATTTATAAAGATTTTTGTTACGGATACATATTTAGTAGATTTAAATCATTAAAAATGGTTTAGTTGTAAAATATGAAATATGTTAATGATCATTAATTATAATTAATAAACTGTGATTAACAATGAGCTTACTGATCTGAAGCACCTTGATTTAAATTGGATCAGATCCTTAGGAATTTTTCAAATGATGTGGCCTGGTTCTGTCCAGATATGTTTGCCACCATGTGAATGCCTCATTGCCTGAATAAGTCCAAGATAGACATTTAAAAAGTGGTCTTTTAGTGACTTGAGGGCAAAAACAAACAAAAAACTATATATAACCTAAATTGGTGTCATTATGGATTATTTAATTTATTACTTTTAAGATTTGAAGTCATAAAATAAGAGTTATTTGAATGTAGAATTAAATTTTATTATTATTTCTTTCTACAAAATATGTTTTCTTGATAGTGCATGGACATGTTGTTATCTGTAAATACACAACTTCAGTCTCTTATTGCAAGCCGTGAAAAAATATTTGCAGTATTTGCAAAAAGTAAGTATGTTATTTTTAATTTTTTCATTTAATATTATTATTATTAATTTGAAATATACAAATAAAGTGTTATTTTATTGTATATGTTAAAATTACAAATTAATTTATAACAATAAACTTTGTTTTGGCATGTAGCTAATTGAGAAACTATATCAGAAAATACTTCAGTATTTTATTATTAATTTTTTAAACATGATTAGTTTTAATATACTTAGTCTATTTATGAACCTAACTCAGAAACCAAATAAACCAGCAAAAGAACCACTCACTTGAAAAGCAAATGTTTTCATCCATTTTTAAAAGGACATCAGGCGGTGTTCTAATTTAGAATCGCACAATTTTTGAATGGATCTTAATCTCTATGAAAACATTTGCTTTTCAAGTGAGGGGTTCTTTTGCTGGTTTATATGGTTATTGAGTTAGAAGATTCATTAATATTAACCAGCAATCTGTTGTGTCTTTTAAAGTCTGTTATTATATTAGTCAATGTTTTGTCCCCTTATAATTCAGCAATTCAAGGGGTTGTAGCTAGAATTGTAAAATGCCATATATTTATAAAATTTGCAAACTGAAAATAAAATCAATCATTGAATCTATTGCTCAATAATTAACTTTAGTATTGGTTATTGCAATTTTTGATTCTTTATATTGAAAACAGATCTTTCAGGTTGTCAAAAGAATTAAGAAATTTTGCATGGTTTAACTCATGTCGTTATATCATTCTATAATGTGAATTTACGTTTAGTTAAAGTGCATAAGTTGTATAGTTTGACAGACAAAGTCTTGAGTCCAATTATACACTAAGCCTGAGGAAGGCCCCTGAATGAGATCAAAAACATTTGTTTGAATAAAAATATTTTCTTGCTGGTGTGAAGGGTATTGTGTAATTCTGTGACAGTTCCAGCTTTGGAGGAGTTCTAATTATTATATATAGATCAATTTAAAATTAACAGCTTTAAACAAAATTATTAACATTTCTTTTTAGTTATCTGGGTTATAAAGCTGCATTTTTAACATATCAAAATAAAAAGAAAATTGTTTCTCTTGTCAATAGTATGCAGTTATCATAAATACAAACTAATAAATCTCATACACAACCAAAACCCGATATATTGAGCAAATATACACCCACAACTGCTGTAATGATTGGGCTAAATTTGGATGTAATGATTATAAATTAGAAATTAATTTGGCACTAGATTGAGACGTTTTTAATATGAGATGGCACCTAACGCCTCACTCTAGTGCCAAATTCATTTCTAATTTATAATCATTATATCCAAATTTAGCCCAATCATTACAGCAGTTGTGGGTGTATATGTGTATATTTGCTTAATAAATCTCATTAATGATGATTATTTACCAAATAGAAAAGCAAACATCTGAGTGAACTACAATTGACATAAATATTATTTAACATCAAATCAAACAAGAGAATGGTGTGGTCCACTTGAAATTAAAATTCAGCTTTAGCATTGTGTTACAAGATCATATCCCTACATTAAAATGTAAACAAAGTTTAACTAAAAGGTTATCTATATCTGTCAGAATCTTACAACATTCCAAAGAAGTGTTTATAGCTATAGAAGTTTTTAATCATGAATGTGTAATATTGTCCGGATAGAAACCATAGGCTAATAGACTCGTGTATTTCTGATAAGCTCCTACAAACTCTGATAGGCTAAAAGCCTATCGGAAATACATCAGAGCCATATACAGGGTTTGTCCAATAACTATAGGGATTAAAGTCATAAAAAGAAATTTATTGAAGCTATATGTACAGTGAGTTAATAATTTACAAAATTTGATCCTCCTTCATCATTATACTGCTGCCAGCACTTTTTCCAGTCTTCATATGCCCCATGGAAGTCTGCAACCACAAGGCTGTTCAGACACCCCGTCGAAGTTGCTTGGACCTCCTCAACTGTTCCAAAAGGATGTTTTTTCAGACTCATTTTGATCTAAGGTAACAAAAATAAGTTGGAGGAGCCACATCTAGACTGTAGGGTGGTTGGGGCAGCATTGACACGTTGTGTTTGGCCAGTGTCTCCCTCACAGTTAGCAATGTATGACTGGGCACATTTTGTGATTGAGCATCCAGGTATTGGCGATATCCCTTAGGACACAGCAGACCCTGTTCCTCAAACATATAACCACTTCTGCATAAAATTTACAGTTCACTGTTTATCCAACAGGCGCAAGCTCCTTGTGGACAACACCTTTTGCATCAAAGGAGACAATGAGCATCAATTTCACTCTTGATTTGTTTGTGTGGGCCTCTTTTGGTTGAGGAGAGGTGCTAGTGTGCCACTTAGTACTTTGTTTTTTGGTCTCCAGATTGTACTCAAAAGTCCAAGTTTTGTAACTGGTTATCACTCTGTCCAAAAGATTTGGATCGGTCTCCAAATGTTCCAATAGTTCACGACAAATCGTCAAAAGGTATTCCTTCTGCTTGTCTGATAAAACCTTTTGCACAAACTTCATACACACCCTTTGCATTTGCATATCATCGGTCACAATTGAATGCATAGTGGATTTCACTAAATTTAACTCCTGTGCTATCAAACAAATACTTAATCAGCAATCAGAGTTTAAAAGTTCTCACACTGGCTACATTTTCATTGGTTCAGGTCACTGTCAGACATCCACCACCTTATTTGTCTTCAGTCTTCCTGGCGATCTTTGAATATTTTATGTCACTCAAAAACCTGAATTCTGGACATGGCTTTGTCCTTGTAAGCCTCATGGATCACATCAAAAGTCTCTATAGCAGATTTGTCAATTTAGGCTAATGCAAAATTTGATGGCAAAACATGGCTTGATGGTTCGCTGCATGTTGACTCTTGATGTGAGCGCTAAACACACTTTCACTTCAGGTGCAATCTACACACTCCAAAGGCTCAGAGACAAATGAGCGAGGTCTCATAGCTTACATGACATCCCACCCATAGAGACTGCCCTTTACCCCTTCCCATTGGCAGGAAAAAAAATCAGTCCTGATACTTATTGGACAAACCCTGTACACTATTGGAATGCCTATTAGAGAGTTGCATCATCTATTTTTATTATATATGTTAAAATACTATAGCTATTACTGATCTATACTACATGTCACTGTTACTTTACTTACTTGTACTTTGACTAAATAAACTCTCATTTAATTGCTATGACTTTGAGTGTTCCCTAAGCTTTCAGTTAATTCAGTTACCTGTTCAAGATTAACTTGTTAGAAATACTTACAATCCCCATATATTACACTATGTAATAGTCAAAATCTTGCAAAAATATTATATAATATTTTTCCAAGATATTGTTTCCAGGAAAACGACGTAAGTCGAATTCACTTGTCTCCGAATCTACTTATCACTAGGCTAAACCGTAAATCACCATTCCTGTTCTGTATTTTATTTATTAATGCATTTTTAATAATATATAGTTAATAAAAATCTATTTTAAGCTTACAAACAAATAAATTTTAGTTTTTAATATAGTACAGAAAAAAGTATTCT